CGAGGTGGCGGCAGGGAACGGCGCGCGGCGTCGGGAGAGATCGAACTCGGGGCGGGGCGGCAGTGCTATTTATATAGCAAAGGCTTTGGTCCCGGTTCGTGCCACAAACCGGGACCAATGCCCCTCATTTGTCCCGGTTTGAGCCGCCAACCGGGACTAAAAGCCTCTTTCCGGCAGCCCAAGGGCGAGAAACGAAGACCTTTGGTCCTGGTTGGTGGCTCCAACCGGGACCAAAGGGGGGCATTGGTACCGGTTGGTGGCACCAACCGGTACCAAAGAGGGGCATTGGTACCGGTTGGCGCCACCAACCGGTACCAATGGACCCGTCTAATTTTTTATTTTCTGCAGCTGTTTTTTAGTTGATTCTTTCTGTAGCTGTTTTTTTAGTCCCACCTCGCCAAGCGAGAGACACTCGCAGCTGTTTATAAGCCCTGAGTGCAAAGACGATGAAGAAGAGGCTCAATGCTCATCTACACGTTGGTTAGCTTCAAGCCTTGAGGAATAGGGTAGACTGCACAGAGCTATGTCCAGTGCAGTTGACACGATTCCGAAAGGCTTGAAGCAAATTAACGAGCATTGCGCCTCTTTTTTATTTTTAATAACTTATTTTTAATAGTTGTGATTAACTTAACTAAAAATATGAGGATAGATACTTATTTTTAATGACTTATTACAACTCAGAAATAAAAAAAAATACAGAAAAGAAAAAAAAAACTATATAAAAAACTACTCAAAAATAAATAGAAGCAAAAATAGTTGTGATTAACTTTACTAAAAAAATGAGCATAGATGCTTATTTTTAATGACTTATTACAATTCAGAAATAAATAGAAGAAAAAATAGTTGTGATTAACTTTACTAAAAAGTGAGCATAGATGCTTATTTTTAATGACTTATTACAACTCAGAAATAAAAAGAAAAAAAATAAATATAGCAGACAAGAAAAAAACCTATATAAAAACTACTCAGAAATAAATAGAAGCAAAAATAGTTGTGATTAACTTTACTAAAAAAATGAGCATAGATGCTTATTTTGAATGACTTATTACAATTCAGAAATAAATAGAAGAAAAAATAGTTGTGATTAACTTTACTAACAAATGAGCATAGATGCTTATTTTTAATGACTTATTACAACTCAGAAATAAAAAGAAAAAAATAAATATAGCAGAAAAGAAAAAAAACTATATAAAAAACTACTCAAAAATAAATAGAAGAAAAAATAGTTGTGATTAACTTTACTAAAAAAATGAGCATAGATGCTTATTTTTAATGACTTATTACAATTCAAAAATAAATATAAGAAAAAAATAGTTGTGATTAAATTTAGTAAAAAATGAGCATAAATGCTTATTTTTAATGACTTATTACAACTAGAAATAAAAAGAAAAAAATAAATATATAAAAAAACTACTCAGAAATGAGCATAGATGCGCTGATAGAGAAAATTCAACCTAAATTTATAATAAATTTCTACTAACTTCAGAGAAATTCAGTATGAATTTAGGTTAAATTTCCTCTATAAGGGCATCTATTTTCATTTTGAGAGGAGCTCAACAAGGCAGAGAGGGAGGGGCTTATAAACCGGTCTGATTCCCCTTCGATTGGCGAGATGGGACTAAACTCTGACCGCAACGAGGACCAACCCTTTAGTCCCGGTTGGTGGCATGAACCGGAACTAAAGGGCAGCCTTTGGTCCCGGGTCATGCCACCAACCGGGACCAATGGTGGTGGGCCAGGAGCGAGGACCATTGGTCCCGGTTCGTCCCTCCAACCGGGACCAAAAGGTCCAGACGAACCGGGACCAATGGCCCACGTGGCCCGGCCGGCCCCGGGGCTCACGAACCGGGTCCAATGCCCCCATTGATCCTGGTTCTGGGTTGAACCGGGACTAATGGGCTGGACCGGCCTGGACCATTGGCCCCTTTTCTACTAGTGAGGGATGGCTACTCACGGAAGAAAGTAGTAACATTGCATTACATGAAAAAAAATTTGGCAAAGATTTGTTGAGGTGGCGACTGCTGATGTGGATGGGCTGCATGTCAAGAGAAATCATGTAGTGGGGGTGAACTATTTAGGTATTATAGATTCACGTCTTACAATTACTGTCCATAGCTGCAGAACCGTAGAGAGTTCCGTCCAACAGTTTGCAAACTAGTGGAAACAATATCATGTGGAAAATTTAGTCATGGTTATATTTTGCCTCTGTTCTATGTTCTGTTTTCTTCTTGTCATCTTGTTTACAGATTCTTTGTAAGTGCTTCCTTGTATTGGCGTTCTTATGCTTTGATTGTCAGATTGCCGTTGTTTATGATCTGGTAACATCTTTCCTTGTCGTTGCCTCTGGTATTTTCTGTTGTTTCCATACAGGTTGATCGGGAGTACATATACAAAGAAAATTACCGTTTTCATTGCTGCAACAGTGAAGTCGCTGTGTAGGTAACAGTCACAGCAGATTTGAAGATCATAGTTTTCTATTTGCATCATCTTGCTTAGATGTAGACATGGGTACATGAACTTGGAGAGTGCCTTAATTTAAATACTCATGATTTAGTGACGTTCCATGACCTTACTTTCACCTAAATTTTAATTGGTGGTGTAGCTCCAGCCTACTGAAATGGTAGTGAGGTTCGCTGATCCTTCAAATACCATGCATATTTCTTGATTTCTTAATTTGGTGTAACCCGTACAAAAAGAATTATGACATATTTTGTAGAAGTTACTGATGGACAAAGTGAAGTTCTGTAGAAGTTGCTTTTATTTAGATTCGAGCCTCCTTGGTAGTAGAGAGTTACTGCTATTTTCTTTCTTTTGGTAGTTGAGAGTAACAACTATTGATGGACAAAGTGAGGTTCGCTTTGTATTATATTATATTTTTTCATAAAATTTTCTACATAATAAGAGTATGGTTTCCATCACATTTATTAAAAGAAAGCGATACTATGACAATGAAAACTAAGCCTTATAATAAAGCATTGAACAAATATTCTGTCGAACAAAAGTTTTTCAAAAAAAATATATTACTCCCTCTATAAAAAAACAATCATACATGTTAATAAAGTTCACATGTATGTCAAATAAAACGTCTATGCTACTTTTATCTTTTTACTTGTAAAATTGCCCGGTTTGTAGATTTTTTTCACTTGAGATACATCTCATAGTGCTAAAAAATGATCATGGATGTCAAATATGTTTTTCTCTATTTCTAGTTTTTCATAGATATAAATGTCTAATTTTTTTCTTTCTTAAGATATATTATTTGATTCTCTAAAATTTTATTTGTCTCGAATTAATAAAGATCTATTATGAGAACAAAGTATCTTTAGTGAAAACGCCTGCATTTTTAAACTAGTGCTAAAGACAAAGATAAACTTTTGCTAATATACTATTCCACTGAAATTTGTTTATGTATATCCGATAAAATGTTCACAGCACTATCTCATCAGATAAAGAAGTATTCCATAAAACCTATATTCCTGACTCTACACATATCTTATATTCCTTGTGCATGTTTGCAGGGCCAGTTTTGTCTGGTCGAGCATGTTAATGTATCAGAGGAAAACTGCCCACGCAGCCCATCAAAACTCCTCCGGCCCACGAAGCCCATATTGACTAGGTCAACCATCACTGCGCAGTAGCAATCCATTGGAAATCTCTCTGTCGCCGCCGCCGCCTGCGCCATGCTCCGGCTTCGAGAGTACGTCGTTTCCCGTCTCCTCTCTCCTTCCTCCACCTCTGCCTCTGCCGTCTCCCCTCTGCTTCGCCTCCTCTCCGCATCCGCATCCGCAACCCCCATTTCTGCGAACCCTAGTACCTTCGCCGTCGAGGAGTACCTCGTCGACACCAAGCCCTCAGAGCCTCCACCAAGCTCTCCCACCTCAAGTCGCCCGCCAATCCCGACGCCGTCCTCGCCTTCCTCGCCGGCCTCGGCCTCTCCGGCGCCGATGCCGCCGTCGCCGTCGCCAAGGACCCGCAGCTCCTATGCGCCAAAGTGGACAAAACCCTGGCTCCGGTGGTCGATGGGCTCACCGGCCTCGGCCTGTCGCGTTCTGACATCGTCCACCTCGTCTGGCTCACCCCCGGCAGCTTCCGCCGTAGAGCCATAGTCTCCAGGCTGCACTACTACCTGCCCCTCTTGGGCTCCTTCCAAAACTTCCTCCGGCTGCTCAAGCGCTCATCCCACCTTCTGTCGTCGGACCTCGACAAGGCTGTCAAGCCCAATGTTGTGTTCCTGAGGGAGTGCGGGCTAGGTGGTTGTGATATTGCCAAGCTGTGTATCCGTGTGCCTAGGATGCTGAGCACCAACCCCGAGCGTGTCCGGGCGATGGTGGCATGTGCCGAAAGATTAGGTGTGCCCCGTGGCTCTGGGATGCTCAGGCAAGCGCTGCAGGCTGTCGCGTTTCGCAGCGAGGAGAAGATCGTCGCCAGATTGAAGTACTTGAAGAATACGTTCGGGTGGTCTGATGCTGAAGCAAGCATTGTTGTGCGCAGGTATCCGGCGGTGCTGGGGAAGTCAAAGGAATCTTTGAAGTGCAGGTCTGAGTTCCTGCTCTCTGAGGTGGGGCTGGAACCCATGTCCATTGCTCATCAACCTGTAATTCTCAGTCTTAGCCTGGAGGGCCGGCTGAGACCCCGGTACTATGTTATAAAGTTTCTCAAGGAAAATGGACTGCTAGATGGTGACCCGAGCTTCTTTACTGCGGTCAAGATGACTGAGAAGGTATTTATGGAGAAACTCATATCCCCTCACAAGGAAGCTGCACCACACCTCGCTCAAGACTATGCAACAGCTTGCAAAGGGGAAGTGCCAACTAATTTCATATTTAGATGGACCAGGAACAGGCTATGAAAATCCGTAACCTGTGTATGGCGCAAGAAAGTTTTCACTCTGTGTAGTAAGTTGGTAACTCCTGCCTTGGTGTTTAGGCCTAACTGGATGTTGACTATCTTTTCTAGTGTGTTTGTTACTTGCCAGTTTGCTCATTGCTAACTCTTGATGTAACTAGTAATAAATTGATTTCTGAACCCCCGATATGCTGTTGTTGTCATTCCTTAGAGGAGATCCTTCAAAATATCAGTCTGGTCTGCTTTTATGGCAATTTTTATCTAGCATGTTCCCTTTTGATTTCATTGTATTTTCAGTTGCATCATATTTCAGTTAGTACTAAGTTTGTGGTTCAATGTTCAGTATTTGGATTATTCTTACAAATATTATGACAGTTAGTACTAAAGTTTGTAGTTCAATGTTAAGTATTTTACAGTATGCTTAGATATATATTTCTAATTGATGTCGGTTCCTTTTTAACCTTTTGTTTTCTTCCTCCTTATTCATTCCTAAATACCACAGTTGACCTTTCTTTAGTTTGGAAATTTCCAAATTTCTACATATGAATCAGTCTTATCATTGGCACCCCTCATTAATTGTCAGAATAAACCAATTGAGGTGCCATGTATAACAAGCAAATCCAATGAAGTTTGAGCTAACACTTGTTCTTGTGGACATATGAAGAAGAAATGGCTATGAGATTTTCCCACTACAACCTACTGCTTGCACTGAGGGCAAAGGAGGAGAACCCAAACTCATAGAAATAGAGCTAGCAGTGGATATTGAAGGACTCAAGGGCTCTCCGCCTGCTGGTGTCATTGAACACCCGGTACCTGGCCAGATTCATTGCCTCCTCGACCGGTATCGGTCCGATGCGCCACCCCATCTTGGGCACGACGAGGGTCACCACCGATAACCTCGCCGCCGCGGAGTTGGAGACCATATCCACATGGTGATCGACCCTTGCCAGCACCCTACTGCTATTGGTGATTAGCTCCATGACTCCATCTGGTGCCAGTGGCGGAGACA